ATCCCTAAATACCTGATCCCAAAACACCTAATCCCTAAATACCTGATCCCAAAACACCTGATCCCTAAATACCTGATCCCAAAACACCTGATCCCTAAATACCTGACCCCTAAATACCTGATCCCTAAATACCTGACCCCTAAATACCTGATCCTTAAATACCTGATCCCTAAATACCTGATCCTGTAACACTTGAACCTGAAACACCTGACCCCACATGATGTCATCTTAATGACTCAGCACCTTTATGTTGGACAGAACACGTCTCCATGGAGGTGTCCAGATGAACCTCCTCAGCTGGTTCCTCTGGATGAGGAGCAGCAGCTCTTCTCTGAGTCTCTCTCCTGGAGAGCTGAACCTCTCAGCCTGTCTTTGAGGGACAGTCCAGCTACCCTGCAGAGAAAACTCATCTGGACCTCTTGGACTGAGATCTGTTTCATTTCAGTCTCTACCCAGAGTTAAGGTGAGGGCAGGAACCGACCAATAAACAGAGCTGCTCTTCATCACATCGTCTCCCTCATGATGATCTCTGTTCATCCTCTCAACCCGCCCTCTGTAATTTATTCAAAACAAACAAGAAACACAAAACTCATCACTTCCTGTTGGGAGAACTTTTCCCAGGAGGGATTTAAAGGGTTAAAAACAGCAAATCTTCAAGCTTTTAAAGGTGGAATAAAACTAAAACAAGCAGGTTTGACCTGAATGAGTTAATTTTACAAAGAGTTGAGTTTTTCTTTCTGCTCCACTAACGTCTCATTGATGCTGTAAACTGGTAGTTCACACTGCAGAGGAGTTTTCCCCCAGGAACAAGACATGTCCTGTCAGTTTACTCCTCTATAAATAGTGTTTGTCTTCCCAAACGACACCCATCCACAGCTCAGCCACTCTGAGACAAATATGAAACCTCCCGCAATAAAACAAGGCAATAAACGTCGAACAAAGGACCTGTTTTTCATGATTTAACAGTCGATGTCAAACCAGACAGCAACTAACGCCCAAATAAGTGTCATAAAAGGTTGAAATAACGCAGTAAAATGTTTTACAGCAGGAAAAGTTGTGCAGATGATTATTTTTGGAGACTTGCCAAAACAAACGAACAAACTATGAGCTATAAATTATCAATATTTCTTAAAAACTGAGTTAGCTTAACTCATCGTGGTTATATAAAAACAGGAAGTAAAAATGGTCAAATCACTATTTGTTTTTGTTTTTTAAACAAAATAAGTTGCAGCTCCTTTGAAACAAGGCCTGAGCTAACGCTGTCGTCATCCTCCTTCGGTGAACAGACTTTGCCCTCCACCTGCCAACACAAAGAGAGACAAACACAGACAGGTACATGATCACCTGCCTTTCATGGTGGCAAAATATTATTTACAACAAATAAAAATCTAATTAATAAAAACAGCCTGAACGTTCAGTTAAAAACAGAACATGTCAAAAAAATCACAATCAGTTCTGGAGAAACCCTATAATTGTCACCAGAAAGTTTCGGTTTTCTGTCTCTGTGGAAACAACAAAAGACTCAAAGACACTGCAGTCATTCAACACCAAGAAGAAAACAAGGTGGGCTGTTACTGTCCTCGTTAACCTGATACTGGCTGCAGACAGCATGGACCAAAAACACACAAAAATACAAGCAGGATGAAGATAAAATACGGCCTCAAACTGATGGATCCAAACAAGAATCAAAAATTAAACATTAGAGCATCAAAGAAACAGATTCTCTGTTGGACGTCAGTAAATGATGTTTGTCTGGTTTAATAAACATTCTTTAGAATAAAAAAATGAATATAAATGTTTACTCCTAAAAACAAAAACAAATGTGAAACACTGAATTTTCAGCTAGGCTACTAAAAGACGCAGAACACTAGCTAAACACAAAAGTAAAACATGGCTGGCTAAAAGCATTAAAATATTAGCTTGATGCTAAAACGGCAGAAGGTTAGCTAAAAACTACAAGTAGTTTTGCTAAAGTAAGTAAGTAGAATTTATAGAGCATTATAATTTATAGAGCGCCTTTCACAGAAATGGAATTCACAAGTTGCTGTACAATAACCACACACAAAGAGTAAAACAGAAATACTTGACAATTACATTACAAATGATGAAATTCTGGTCAATACATTCTCAAATTTTTTGGAATAGTAAGGGGCATGGGATAACAATGATGGAGAAAAAATTAATTAAGGTATAATATGCCTGTAACTAATTGGAGTCGATGGTCATGGCGTATTAAATGTAAATGAATGGATACCAGTCAGAAGTAAAATACGAAGTAAAATAAGAAGAAGTAGAAGTAAAATAAGTAAAGTAGCAAGAGGCTGACTCAAAGCTAAAAGAAGTAGAACAATGGCAAGCTGCAAATAATAAAATGCTAGCTAAAATTAGCAAGACAAACTAAATAAGTAAAAAAGGCTAACTAAAAGTATCAAAATGCAAGTTAGACACTAAAATCAAGTAGCAAAACAGTAGCTAAAATAGCTCAAGGCTAGCTAGAAGCTTTCTAGTAAATAGTCCAAAATGAGGAGGCTACTAGCTAAAAGCTATTCAAAAAAGATAAAAGTAGCAAACGGCTAGCTAGAAGCTAAAAATATCAAAATGAATGCAAGAACAATGTTTCTAAAGGATTTGAAGATTTCTCTTTGTTTCCTAATACATGTAAATATAATTAAACATTCTAAAAACATAAAAGTTATTTCTGATTATTGTTTTTCAGGAAATGGATGAGAGTTTGTCTCTGAACACTCGGAGGAGTTTCTCCTTTTCATCTCTGCGCATAAAAAGTGAGAAACTGTTTGTCAAACTAATAAAACACTGGTGGGCATGTTGTGATTAAAAACTGTTTATTCAGTAAAGAGATAACTTATTAATTTTGTAAATCTGATTTTTTTCACAGAAAGGCAAAACAGTGATAATGAGGCTGGATTTACACGAAGAAGAGGGTTACGCTCTTTTTCATCGGCTCGAGAAACATCCAGACAAGGTTTACCCACAGCGACGACGTCTCTTGGTACAGTTCACCCACATGTCAGAGTGCTTCCACCACTGATGACTAGCATTAACTGGAGTTGTTACTTTTTTCATGCCAGCACTCTAAATTTAGTGCTTCTAGAGCTTTTGATTTAGCATTGTGCAGGCTATCTAGATTTAGCATTCTGCTACCACTTTTGATTTAGCATACTTCCAGCAATTTTATCATCTTGCTAGCACACGCACTAGCTTTAGAATCATGTTAGCATTGATTAGCACTCTAGATTTGACATCCTGTTAGCACTCTAGATTTAAAAACATGCCAGCACTCATTATGTTATCCCGCTAACACTCCTAATTGATGTTATGCTAGCACCCCTGATTTAGCATCCTGCTAGCACTCTTGATTTATGTAATCGTGCTAGCACTCCTGATTTAGCATCCTGCTAGCACTCTTGATTCATGTAATCGTGCTAGCACTCCTGATTGATGTTATGCTAGCACCCCTGACTTAGCATCCTGCTAGCACTCTTGATTTATGTAATCGTGCTAGCACTCCTGATTTAGCATCCTGCTAGCACTCTTGATTTATGTAATCGTGCTAGCACTCCTGATTTAGCATCCTGCTAGTACTCTTGATTTATGTAATCGTGCTAGCACTCCTGATTGATGTTATGCTAGCACTCCTGATTTAGCATCCTGCTAGCTTTCTTGATTTATGTAATCATGCTAGCACTCCTGATTTAGCATCCTGCTAGCTTTCTTGATTTATGTAATCGTGCTTGCACTTCTGATTGATGTTATGCTAGCACCCTTGATTTAGCATCCTGCTAGCGCTCTTGATTTATGTAATCGTGCTAGCACTCCTGATTTAGCATCCTGCTAGCACTCTTGATTTATGTAATCGTGCTTGCACTCCTGATTGATGTTATGCTAGCACTCCTGATTTAGCCTCCTGCTAGCACTCCTGATTTAGCATCCTGCTAGCACTCTTGATTTATGTAATCATGCTAGCAGTCCTGATTGATGTTATGCTAGCACTCTTGATTTAGTATCCTGCTATCACTTTAGATTCAGCATCCTGTTAGCATTCTGAATTTAACATTACACTAGCACTCTAGAACGAGACAGATTAGCTAAGTGCTTGTGAATTCTTTCAAATTGTGTATAATGATTGTACTAAAAAGTTATAATTTTCTCATCCCAAGTTGAGAAAATAAACACATATACTCAAAGCACTAATTAATCACTAAATTTGTATTATTTTCTGATCTTGAAGCAGCAGGTATGATCTGTGTATTTTTGACAAAGACTTGTTAAGGTTTCATCCTGCAGGAGTCAGCAAAGCTTTGTCTAAATGAGAAAACCCTCTGTAAAAGTTCAAACCATCGAGGAAACTTGATTTTTTTTGTGGGGGGGTTATGGAGATTAGTTAAACAAAATACTGAAAATATTAAATATGAAAACACCAACAGGATATGAAAACAAATCTTCATCTGAGATTTTCTTTTATTGTTGAACACAGTCCCAGATGGAGCTGGAGCCTCAAAAACGAATCGAGTCCAGGACCTGGTGAAGAAGTTTCATGTGTCTGAAGGTAGGACAACACTTTGAACTGTCTGAGTTCGTATGTAATCTGGCAACAGAAACACAAAAAGTGTCAAAGTCTCAAGTTGATATAATAAACGCGCTGCTCCACCCAACTTCTGTAGAAATACAGTAAAGACAGCGCTCAAACCGTTGTTTTCCTGTTTATAGTTTCATCTGTTTGTTTTTCTGGATTCATTTTTTAATCATTCAGAAATCAAATCAAACAACTGGATCAAGAATAGTGCGCTATTTGTGTTTTTTTGGTTTTTACATCTACTGTTTACTCTATAGCATCCTTCTATGTTTAGCTTTTAGCTACTATTTTACCAATTTAAACCTTTAGCTACTATTTTTCTGTTTTAACCTTTTTGCTATAGTTTTATTTTTAACTTTTAGCTACCATTTTGGCAACTTTTTAGTTTAGTTGCAATTTTATTCTACGGTTTTTATGGTACACTCAAACATTTCTCTGTCTCGGTTTGCTTCTGGTGTGAATACAGACCGACAATACCGCATTTAAGGAAAAAAAAAAACAACCTTAGATTAGGCTTCCTCAGTGCGGCCCGCATCATTTCTGTCCAATGGGAGCAATGATCGTCATCCACATGGCTTTGTTTACAAATTATAGTCCGCTTGCAAAAAAACAAAGCACAATGGGAATGCTAACCGCACCAAACAAAAATAAATAAATAAAACCAAAGGAGCTTCCTGGCGTGAATACACTCGTAATTTTACCTTTCAGCTGAAATATTGTTTGTTTTTAACGGCCATTCTGCCACTTATAGCTTTAAGCTCCAGTTTTGCTAATTTTAGCGAAGATGTGAGCTTAACTGACACGGTTGCTGGTTCTGTGCTGCTCAAAGGTCCACGGTTTGTGAGATATTTTGCTAACAAATAGACAAACAAAAACACAGACAAGCTGAGCAGGGGTTCTCTGCAGACGAGTTTCCAAGGGAAGGCGGTTCACAACGGACACACCTGATTGGACGATCGTAGCTTTGGTGTTTCTTTATATTATTAGTTTACTTTGGAAAGAGACCCTTTATAGGTCCATGTTGGAGTTATTTAGCCCTCCCCAATCATTTGACCCTAAAATTAACCCCTTGATTTTATGAGTTGGCCCTTCCTACCCTAATATTAACTCCTATGCCTCATATTAACTCTTATGTCTCAGTTTTGGCTGCTAAAATTAACGTGAAAGTAGTTAAAGTCAAAAGTGAAAGAAAAACAAAAAAGAAGAACCAAGCTTTTTGAAAAACAGAGCAAATACAACCAGCCAATCAGTGTTTATGTTTTAATATGCCTACTCTTCATGCATTAGAACGACTCTGCAGAGACCCCGTTAACTTTCTATAGATTATTAGAGATTTTAATTTTAATCAAATGTTACATTTTTGCTCACTTAAATCAATATTACATATTTACTTGTTGACAATTTATTAGCAAAAACCTCAGAATTTTGTTTACTCGCAATCAAAATGGAGGGATTTTTTTCTCCCAAAAAGGGGCGGGAGCTTTGAGAACGTTCCAAGAACCCGGATGTTTGTCTACTTCAATGACAGTTGCCACTTTTTGATCTCATCGTGTGTTTCTCTGACTTCCCACGTGGAAATGTCATGCAAACAAAACGTTACTTCATCCAGTCACTTGTTATAATTAGATTAAAAAAAACAAACAAACAACAAACACCCACTCTGACCCAGAAGCCTGACATCCTGCTCAGTCGAGCCAGCAGGTGTTGTTTTTCCGGACTCGCCTGAACGCACCGCGGAGCTCCGCACTCTCCTCAGAGCCGCGCGGAGCCTCGAGGAGCAGCCGGACGGAGGCGTCGTGTTTGCGGGGATGGAGACGGTGAAGTCCCGCGGCGAGCTTTCACCGAGGAGCCGCTGAGAGGAGCGCGGAGAGCCGCAGCCATGAGCGAGGCGGTGACGAGGAGAGAGAAGCGGACCATCCTCACCAACTTTAAACAAAGATGGAGTGAGTTTCTGTCCGACTTCAACCTGTTATTTAAAAATAAAAAACGTTTTAAACCGGAACTCTGCTTTTTAAAACTTCTCAAACCTGACGCAGTTTGCTTTAATCAACCGGTTTGAATGAGTTTTTTTCTTGTTTCACTGCGACATTTGAACAGTTTCAGGATTAAGGCGGATGTTGTGGTTTTCTGCAAACTATAATCTGACATCCTTTCTACCTGCGTGCAGATTAAACCAGATTAAATAAAAGTAACAAGTGTCATTTCCTGGATTTAACTTAAATTTACTGCTCAAATACTTAAAATGTCAGTTTTTGTGTTATAATTGGTGTTTTAGGTGTTATTTTTATAAACAGCTTTAAATCCCATTTGACCCAAAAACTGATAATAATTAAATAAAAATTTTGAGTTGCATGATGGTGGGATGTTGGCCCTCAGATTAGATGTTGGGGATGACTCTCTGCTACCACCACACTTAACATTTAACCCAGTATCAGTCAAATCCACAGTTTTATCTGTTTTTGTGACGGGCTCATAAATAATCTGTAATTTAATACAATCTGTCAATATTTTGCTAACAGACAAACATGAACACAACTTATTTTATTTCTCAGGGGTCTGCAAAACTTTACAATGAAAAGAAAGATGTCCAATAAAACATGCTTCATCTTTGATTATCAACTGGTGGTCCATGGGCCCCTTCCAGTCCGTTGAAGGGGGTCTTTTTCGGCCAGTGGGGGTGACGTTATTAAACTAAAAATATAAAGTGAATTTTAACATTTATTGTAATTTTTCCACTTTAGGAAAAACAAAACGATCATACTGATGCAAACAAGAAAAAATATGTAGCTTATATCAAATTTATTACAAATTAAATCTGAACGTTGCAGACATGTTTTTTAAATTCCTAATCTTATCTAAACATAATATTTCTTCTTCATAACTTGATTTAATGATATTTAAAAGGAAAGAAACAGGAAACAAAAACACTCCCTGTGAGGTTGGAAGTTGGATTATTGAACAACACGTTTCACTTCCTGTTTTTACTTTATTTTTGTACTGATCACATATTTGCAAACAACATGACAGGATCTCCGATGAAGCTGGACTTTTTCTGTTGTGGGTTTTTTAAAAAGTTGTGATACTTTTGGTCGAAGTTTTAAAGAGGTTTCGGAGCCGTGCTTCAGACGAGTCCTCAGTTTGTTAGAAAAAATGTAAAAACCTGAGTGTGAATGTCTGAATGTGGGTCGGAGGTGGTGGTTGTTGAAACACGTTGGAGCTGGAGGGCATGGAGCTTCTCACTTCACCCACATCCACCCCGAGCTGACAAACACAACCCTTTTCCTTTGTTACACACAAACACAAAGTGTTCAAAACCAGTGAGTTGGTTCGGTTGTCGTGTTAGCAAAATATCTTAAGCACCACTGGATGGTTTTTAATGTAACCAAATCACACCAAGGCAATTAACAAGCAAACAGGGCTGCAACGATACAGAAAATACACGATTCGGTTCAATACTTTAGTCTCACGGTTCGATAGTTTTTCGATAAAAAAAGAGAAATGTCCCTGCCCCTTTTAACTTCTAATTTATTTAAATTAATTATAAACATTTGTTTAACCTCAAAAGTCCAGTTTTTAAATTAAATGAATCAAATCAAAAATGCAGCCTAGGTGGAGTAGTCGAACACAGATCCACTGATCCTTCAACACAGAGCATCTTCAGAAGACAAGTTGATAAAATAAATTTTAAAAATCTGTACTGATCCATACATAGTGTGTACTGATCCATACATAGTGTGTACTGATCCATACATAGTGTGTACTGATCCATACATAGTGTGTATTGATCCATACATAGTGTGTACTGATCCATACGTAGTGTGTACTGATCCATACATAGTGTGTATTGATCCATACATAGTGTGTACTGATCCATACACAGTGTGTACTGATCCATACGTAGTGTGTACTGATCCATACATAGTGTGTACTGATCCATACATAGTGTGTATTGATCCATACATAGTGTGTACTGATCCATATATAGTGTGTACTGATCCATACATAGTGTGTATTGAACAGATTGATACATGTATTGTTGCTCCCCTACAAACGGATCTCTAACTCGGCCTGTTCTAGAGATCCTGAGCTAAAGTTCGGTGTGGTAGTAGCTGAGAGTCATCCCCAACACATGCTAACATTTCACCCATGATTTCATTCACAAGGTTTGACTCAAAGAGCTCAGTTTGCGTCGTCCTGAAAGCTCTTTCTCAGTAGTTTTCGTTCTGTTCAGAGAGCAGAGGGAGTTGTGTAACTGAAGGGTTCTGGGTGGAGGAGCAGCTCTGCCACCACTCATCACACATTGCAACACTGAGCAAACACCTGCCGCTGCCAGCAGCTCGGTTGCTTCACTCTGTCGTAAATAAAACAGAAAGCTCAGGGAGGCTGGCTGACGTGAAACCGGGAACACATCCTGCAGGATTTATCCTTCTTCTGTCACCTGGCTTCTGCCTGGTTCTGTTAATTTGTTAATATTTTAGCTCGTTTGTGACCTTCTGTTTGGGTCAAACCAAGTTAATATTTCTCCTTAGATTCAAAAGATCCTGTCAGAAAACAATAAGACATGACCCAAGCTCCTCAAGCGGTTTGAAAAACAAAGAATTCAGAATTTTATTGTGGGTTTTTCTCTTATATATTTATACGTTCACCTTAAACTCTTCAGTAAGTGGTCCTGAAGGTTCTAGAAGATCTTTGGACTTGACGAGGCCCAGGTGTATTAACTTCCTGTTTGTGATCATGATTGACTGCAGTCGGGAGAACTCAGTGAAGATCTAAGAAGAAAATGGACCAGTGGACCACCCCGTCCACTGTGAAACAAGTTTTTAACATCGTCGTGGTCTGAGAGGACCTGGAAAGAAGCTCCATAACCTTCAGAGCCAACTGTTCAGCACGGTGGTGGTAGCGTCATGCTGTGATGCTAACAGAATAATGAAGGAGCAGGACTACCTTCAAGCCCCCACCTTTAGCTCAAATCATGCGCTAGATGGTTGCAACTTGGACAAAGTTGAGTCCAACGGGACCAGGAGCCAATCAGGTCCAAGAGAAATCATCAGAACTGGTTTCTGATTGGATAAAATATCAGAACATGAAGCTTCTGTCGTCCCAAAGCTGCAACCTCAACCTGATTGAAAGGTTGTGGAGTTTTACAAAAAGCAGAGTCAGAAAAAATATCATCAAATCTACCAGGAAGAATAAATACTA